TTTTTTGAAATTTTGCGGCTATTAATCTCTGCAAATTTCACGAATTAAAAATGGAGGAATTTCACGGCTATTATGTTTCGCAAATTTTTCAAAACTCGCGAAAAGGACCAAATATAGTAGCGCGCGAAAATTACCTGGAGTACAGTATGTTGAATCCAATATGGAATGGTGCTGCCTTGGTGATACTAACGATGACAGTTAATGACTTATTTATGTAAATATGTTCTAATGGCCTGGCATGTTAGTCCATGGATCATCCAAAATATGGGATTGAAAAAGTTAGAATTTGACAGTGTCACCTTATGAGAAGTGTCAGAAACACAAATAGTACAGTAGTACTGGCAAGTGGGAGGGGGTGTTCTGAGCATTGAACAGAAGTAGAAATTAATAAATCGAATCTTGTGAGTGTCCCTTCTCTGTTTGATGGTACATGTACTTGGACTTGGGGTAAAATAATTCATTAGGAATGAGAGTTTTAGCTATGAGAATTTTCAATATGTAGCACATGTAATGCCCAAGTCACATTTGCTCCAATTCATCCACTGGCGCCCGGCCGATTGCATTCAGTTTTGAACAAAACACTCAATCGGCCTGTCGGCTGGTTGCTTGCTGATGAATCAGAGCAAATGCGACTTGGGCATAATACGTAAGCAAGCATGTTTAACACATAAGTACAATTAAATAGGATTTTTAAGGCTCTTGTAAGTACAGAAATTCTGCACTGCACTAGCCTATAGTACTAATATCCTTCAATATTAGTATAGTCTGTACTTATTTCCTTTGATATTAGCACTTATATCCTTAGATATTTGTGGCTTATCACATTGGTCCGAGGTTCCAATAAAGAGCGGAATAGATCTTTCATCAGTTACTGTACATTCCAGATTTTTATTGCATTTTATTTGTACTTGCATTATTTATGCTGAGAAACTTAGTCCATAACTATTAACCAACGTAAGGCAAAGTGATTCTATTTATGATTCCTATAAACATAAATGGTAAAAGTTAATTTGTCATGATATATGGTTGTTATGAGCTCAGTTATACAACAATGATTGTATGTATGTCAAGGCGCCTTACATTGTAAATCCATATATGTACATAGGTCTCATAAGGACGCAATAAAATGGCAATTATTTTCTTGAATCAAGCATGGAAATCAGGAAAAATTGATAGGCTATTTTTGTAATAAAAACAAGTGTACATTCCTATAAAATGTCTTAAAGTTTATTATTATTCTATTGGTGAAACATTTGTTTTATATCATGCTATTCCACATCAAGATGTTACACAAATAGAGAAACAGGAATGAAATGTCCATCATCGAAAAGTTCAGGTTAACTGATATATTATATAAGATTTACACCCCCCTTCATATGTTTTGCAACCTTGTTTGATGACATGTTTGAAAAGCCTGTTTTTGTTTGTATCTGCCAACCATCTAAATCAGGCAAGTGGCTAAAGGAAGAAATCTTGCTCAAGGTTGATATACCCTAGGGGAGATAATACTACAAAAACTTAACCCGATATAAAAAATGATTTTAAAAAGGAAATGCCAATTGCTAAACTTTTGTTGAGGAGTGTATGAAAAGCTGGAATGAATTATCTCACAAACTGAAATACCTAGAAGTACAATGAAACCTGTAAAGTGGAACACCTCCATGAGTAGAACATTTTAATATTCCATTCCCCATAAACGTAGTCGAAGATTTAGGCTACCTCTAAGATTAGAACACTATTTTGTAGGCTATACACCATTCCACTTACACATGATTCACTGTACAATAAATCAAACATGCCTTGACGATTCAGAGATATATTTTGCAGAGTACCTTTGAATAAAAATGCCATTAAAACAGGGATTAAATCATTCAGGAATTGTTTAGCAATTTAAAATAAATAAGTTTAAAAGAAACCAGAACAACGGCAACGCCAAAGCGTAGCGAATCCCATCGAACATTTTTCAAAAGGGGCACCTTCTACCAAAAGTGTCATTAGACAGTGTGCCATGCTTATAATATTCACATACCAAATATGAACAAAATCGCTCTACTACTTTTCGAGTTATAGTAAAATACGTTAAAATGGTGGCCATTTTGAAAAATGGCCGCCTTCTACTAAAAGTCTCATTAGACAGTGTGCCATGCTTATAGTATTCACATACCAAATATGAACAAAATCGCTCCACTACTTTTCGAGTTATAGTAAAATAAGTTAAAATGGCAGCCATTTTTCAAAATGTCCACCATTTTTCAAAATGGCCACCTTCTACCAAAAGTGTCATTAGACAGTGTGCCATGCTTACAGTATTCACATACCGAATATGAAGAAAATCGCTCCACTACTTTTCGAGTTATAGTAAAATACGTTAAAATGGCGGCCATTTTGAAAAATGACCGCCCTCTACCAAAAGTGTCATTAGACAGTGTGCCATGCTTTTACGTATTCACATACCAAATATGAACAAAATCGCTCCACTACTTTTCGAGTTTTAGTAAAATAAGTTAAAATAGCGGCCATTTTTCAAAATGTCCGCCATTTTTCAAAATGGCCACCTTCTACCAAAAGTGTCATTAGACAGTGTGCCATGCTTATAGTATTCACATACCAAATATGAACAAAATCGCTCCACTTCTTTTCAAGTTACAGCAAAAATCGTAAAATAACGAGAAAAGGCCGCCATTTTTCAAGATGGCTGCCATGTGCTTTTTTAATATCTACATTTCTAGCTTTATTAATGTCCTATATAATTTATTTTACATTTGAAACATATTGCTATTACAGTTTTACATATTGCAACTAAATTACTGTAAAATCGGCACTAAAATGGCCACCATTTTGAAATGAGCAGCCATTTTGAAAATCGGCTTTCGAGCAGAACTTCTACCCCCATAGGGTATATGTATACAAAATATGAATAAAATCGGGCCAACGGTATTTGAGTTATTGCCCGGACGGACGGACGGACGGACGTACGGACGGACGGACGGACGGACGGACGGACGGACGGACGGACGGACGGACGGACGGACGGACGTACGTACGGACGTACGTACGTACGGACGGACGGACGGACGGACGTCATTTGTTTTTGCTGCATTGGTTTCTTCATTTATTTTCTTCTTTCTTTGTCTTGATTTGATTGCGATGTTAGTTATCTTTCTTCAGGGTCCACAGACTTGAGACTGCGCATAGGTGGGTTAAACGTTTTGATCCGGCCGGAAAACTCTCCCCTTCCCCTTACTGTTGGTCTTATGTTGATTTGTCCTCTTAGTTTACCCTCTTTGCGGAGAATATACTGTTTCATATTCATTTGTTAATGTTCTCTTCTCTCGTTAATTTTCCAGTGCTTCATGATGATATTCTCCTGCATATTGTATTTAGTACATATCCATTTATTTCTTGTTATAGCTTTCTTAGTATACAAATTAAGTATGTTGCTCCTGTAGCCTTGACATTGTAGTTTATTTCCCAGGCTGGTAACTCTGTTTGTTGCATCTTCCAGTTGACTGCAGATTCTTGAAATCCTTATTATTTGTGATATAAATATTCCATAAGACTGGTTTCTAGGAATATTTCCAGATAAATCAGGATATGAGACTATTTGGAAATTGAAGTTTTCCCTTTTGTCGTATAGTTTTGTAGTGATTTGTTTATTTACTATTTTCATTTGTATGTCCAGAAAAGTTGTTTCTGTATCCTTCTCATTTTCCTTGTTTAACACTAGTTCTTCAGGATAGATGTTCTTCATATCAGTCTCCATTTCTCCATCGTTGTTTATAGTACATAAATCATCGATGAATCTTGTAGTTTTAGCATATTTTAGTACTTTGGAGTAGTCTTCCCTATACATTTTCTCAATGGCTTGAAATTCATAACTGTATAAGTATAGCGGATGGAGGCGTTCCCTATATCCCTCCGAACTTCGTTTGATGGGATAATTATAGTTATGTTACAATGGGATATGTTTTTTTTTTAAAGTGTTGCTTTATCAGAATATTTTGAAACAAGGCATTAGGATGCAAAATATCCCCACATGCCATTTGTTACAGATGCTGACAGCAAAACAACATCCACAAAAACAAGTTGGAGACTGTAACAATATGTCATCACTTGTGGTAGTGACATACTGTAGATTGGGTTATATTGGCACCCCCTTTGATATGGCGAAATAGAAAAAACGGCAATTTACATCTTCGCTAAAATTTTGAAAGGACCCCCAGGAACTTTGTCCAGTGTATTTAAGTCTCTTCTGGTTTAGCTTTTACAAAATTTGAAAAGGATAAGCTGAAGAAACATATTAACTAGAAAACAGCAACTCCATGAAGAAGCAAATCCCAATTAGAAAAACAGCAGCTCCAAGGAGTAGCAAATCCCACTGAACAAAACATATATTTTAATTATTAGCGGCCATCTTGAAAATTCCTTCTTGAGCAGCTTGTTTGTCCCTAGGCATCAACATAAAAATGTAAACCATATCCATAAATAAGCATTTGAGTTATCAAAGATTACATTCCATTTTTACGAAAAATGGCAGCCATTTTGAAATTCAGCCACCATTTTGAAAATCTTTCTCAAACAGAGTTACTGTGTCCCTTGGCATCAGCATATAAAATTTGAACAAAATTCACTGCTATTTGAGTTATCAAAGATTACATTTTTTTTACGAAAAATGACGGCCATTTTAAGATTCAGCTGCCATCTTGAATATTCTTTATCAAACAGAGGTACTGTGTCTCTAGGCATCATCATATAAAATTTGATCCAAATCTGTTCACTGGTATTTGAGTTATCAAAGATTAGGTCATAAGCAGTAGATTCTTTGTTTTGTGTCCTGGCAAAATCCAAATCATGCAAGGGTACGAGGAAAACAAACACAAACTCAAGAAAAAACACAAACTTGTTTGCTGAGAAATGTATACATTTTATGGGCATAAAAAGGGGCACGTGACTAGCCCTCCAATATCCATATTTTACTGATCCACCAAATTAAATAGCAGCCAAAATTTCAAAATTTGCCCTATCCGCAAAATTAAATAGCGCCAAATTAAAGCAATTTACATAATATGGTAGACGCTAAAATAGTATTTATTTGTTGTTGAAACAGTCTCCGGGGTGAGTTTTTAATTTTTACAATTTTTTCTCATTTTTGTGAGTGACACTTGATCACAGTGGCATTTTTATACTTTCTACTCGAGTGGAATTTTTCTGGTGAGTTGCACCACTAATATAAACACTGTAAAGTATCATTGTGTAAATAATATTTTGATGAATTATTTTTTTAGACTTGTAAAACCGAACACTTGTAAAAACCTTTATAGTGATCCATTTGTCGGAGAGACGAAAGTCAAAAAAGATATTCTATCATAACTAACTTTATATAAACTTAGCTACTGTACAACCTGTACAATTTCAAGCAAAGCACTCCCAAATTCCCTCTCAATTTAGCCCAGTAAGTACATTATTATCAGTTTTAATAGTTAATCAGAGTTCCAAGCTAATGGTGATCAATCAGGACATTCCAATCCAACTCTTTGGAAAATATTCAGTGTGGTTTGTCCCCTTGTCAAGGGGACTCCCAGCTCTGGGCCAGTCCCTAAAGTACACTGTGGTCCCCCCTGTTAAATATCCTCCCCACCATCCAAATGTCCCTGTTGTTATGATGGTGTGATTACAATGTGTCAAAATCGCCAGATCTTCTATCTCCGAATGGTTTTCAGAGAAGTATACATCTTCAGTCAGATTGATGTTTTGTTTCGTCCATGAGAGGTCGTCATTTGATGTTACTATTACAAATGCAAGTTTTGGATACTTTTGCTTGAAAGTAAGCATTGCGTTTTTCAGATATTCTGTTGTTGCAACCTGATGACCAAAATCAATGTTCTTTCTGGAGATCATGTCGCCTCTTCGAACATGGACTCCTATGAGAGTAATTTGACCAGACAATCCTTTCTTAATTTCAGAAATAAATTCTTTAGCCAACTGAGATGTCTTCAAATCAAATTGAAACTGTTCAAGAATATCAGGTTTCACAAAATCAAAATATTTCCAAGATTGTAAATAGCCTGAGATTTGATGGTTTCCGGGACTCAAATTACAAAGATTTGGGAAATATTTAGCACAACATGGTACCATAACTTTGGTGTTCTCAAGTCTGGAACTGTCAATATCCTGATTTGTGACCTTGATCACTTTTAAAGTGAAATATTTCAATAATCTATGGTTTGTTTTCAGTACTGGGGTCCTATTATTTGTTACAGCTAAGCCATACATTGACGCATACATGAACATCAGGTTTCCTAATCCTGCCTCTGAAGAATCTACATCAGCTATTGTCAAGTTATAAGTTGAAGGATTGATGCTGCCAGCTTTTTCCCTAATAAATAGAGTTAAAGTTGAAGTTAAGTTGTTGGAAAGTATTTGCTATTTAAAGGGGCTGTATCTGTTATTGTCATACTCAATTTTCTCAAAACATTTACCTTATTCATTAACATTATTCATTATTCAACGATTTTCTTCAAACTTGTTCCATTCAAAGCATAACAAAAATCCATTTCTGTTGGTACATTATTCTCCTAAACAGAGTCCCTACTTCCAGCGGCATTTTGGTCCCCAGCTGTGAGAAGGCCTTCTAACAGCTGGGGACCAAAATGCTGCTAGAACGAGGGACAATTAAGTAATGCACCAACAGAAAGGCAATTTTGTTTTGCTTTTAATGGTATAAGTTTGAAGAAAACAGTGCAGTATGAGACTCGCAATCCTCGAATTTCAAGCATCTGGTAGGTCAAAAATTCAAATGAACGGTCAAAGTTAGTACCGCGTGTCATTATGATCTGTAACTTGAAACATCATCAACTTTTTATGAATAACAAGCTAAGCTTGGAAAAGTTAACATTTGAATTAAAAATGGTGCAAAGTTATTGATCATTATGTATTAAACATGTTTGGGGTGAAAAATTTAATTACAAAAACTGGCCTTTAAAGTTGACATTTATTATTACAAACAAGAATCCTGTGTTAACTAGTGGTTGGTCAACTGTCACATTGATAATCTAATCCTAAGTTTCGCTAAATATATGTGCAGAGCAGCTGGTATAGATTGAGAGATACCAAAATATAACCCCTGGAAAAATATATCACACGCAACTCATGTCACATTATTCCTACAGTAACATTTTGCAATATCATACTCCCTACCACATAACACCTACCACATTTGCTATCAGACAAATTGCAACATTTAAATTTCTTACAATTTTGACTCTGAATGATTTAAAAATAGAGATTTAACCTGATGCTCTCTTCATTAAGATCATTCAAATGGATTCTATTCTATCAATAGTTGTTAAAAAACCCAAATTACGCTAGGAATTAACAAAACTAGATCTTTTTTAGAAATAATTTTTCAAATTCTCAAACCAGAAGTAAAGTGTTCTTGTTTTTGATCGACTGTTTATTGGAATTGTTTACAATGAGAGTCAGTATTTGTAATAAAATAGTACCACAGGCACTGCGCTCACATGGGAATGTTTCAATATTTTTAATGTTTACAGTAGGAGCTTAGAATAATCAAAGTTTTTTGCACATTATGAAACATACTAATTTTATCGAACTACCTGGCTAGCTAAAATAAAAAAACATGGGTATTAGCTTGGACCAATAAATACCATTTTCCGTAATGAAGTTGGAACAGAGGAATTTCACAAGCACACTAAAAGGTAGCTTTATACATGATTTTTTTGCAATAAAGTGGCGGCCATTTTGAAATTTACAACATATTTTGCCTAAACTTGTAAACAAAGTATTGATAACTTATAAATAAATTAAGGTACCTGTATGTACAATTCCAAGCAAATTGATGATGAAATAATTGTGAAGTTATGACAAAAAAGCTGAAAACCTGATTTTTCTACAATAAAATTGGCAGCCATTTTCAATCTTTGAGACATATTTTGCTGAAGCTTGTAGACATTATTGATAACTTAGAAATTAGGGTACATGTATCTGTACAATTTTAAGCAAATTGATGGAATACTTGTGGAGTTATGACCAAAAACAAGCTAAAAACCTGATTTTTCTGCAATAAGAGTGGTGGCCATTTTTGCGACATATTTTGCCGAAACTTGTAGATATCGTTGATAATATAGAATAAAGGTACCTTTTTAATTTCAAGCAAATTAATGGAACACTTGTGGAGTTATGACCAAAAACAAGCTAAAAACCTGATTTTTCTGCAATAAGAGTGGTGGCCATTTTTGCGACATATTTTGCCGAAACTTGTAGATATCGTTGATAATATAGAAGAAAGGTACCTTTTTAATTTCAAGCAAATTAATGGAACACTTGTGGAGTTATGACCAAAAACAAGCTAAAAACCTGATTTTTCTGCAATAAGAGTGGTGGCCATTTTTGCGACATATTTTGCCGAAACTTGTAGATATCGTTGATAATATAGAATAAAGGTACCTTTTTAATTTCAAGCAAATTAATGGAACACTTGTGGAGTTATGACCAAAGACAAGCTGAAAACCTGATTTTTCTGCAATAAGAGTGGTGGCCATTTTGAATCTTTGTGACTTGTTTTGCCGAAACTTATAGCCTATAAATTAAGGTACCTGTATAATTTCAAGCAAATTGGTGGAAAACTTGTTGACTTATAACCAAAAAAGAGCTGAAAACCTGATTTTTACACCATAAAATTAGGATAAAAAAGCATCCCTGAATATTGTAAAACAATCCGTCAAACAGTTCTCTTGGAAATGTGTATACAGATTTTATGATGGAAAATACAATAGTGGCTAACAATAAAAAAACAATATTTCCTAAGTTCGGAGACAAGGATTTTTTGCATTTAACCTCAAAATGGCCGACAGAAGTTGGTTTACATTCAAATTTTTTAATGTCATCTGCTCATACGTGCTCATTAACAATATGTTGATGTCAGAGGAAATGACCATATACAGAAAGTTGTCCGTATTTCAACGCGCTCTGATTGGCTCAGTGAGATCAGAGGTTTATTGTAAACTTCGACTTCACTTCTTGAAGCTCTCTTTCAAGAAGTGAAGTCGAACGAATACAAAAGGTAGTAAAAAGGTTTTATGACATCGTTAAGTCAATATGCTAGCATACTCTCCCATCTAGATATATGCTTTTGTTGAGAATACAGAATGTGGGAAACATGATGTTACATAGCACACCTTGCAACAATGTCTTTTTATTAGGGTTGTTTCTAATGCTGGTTATTTCTAATGCTGAGAAGTTGATCATTTCTTTAAACTAGATAGATACAAAATGGGAATTTGTTAATTAATCTTTAATATACACCTTATCAGGTTGCTTTCATTTATATCACAACCCAGTAAGGTGTATGTTAAAGAATTAACCTTCCTGTTATCTCAAAATCTGCTTGGAACCCCATCATTGAATTAACATGGGAAATTCCTCCAAGAGAATATTCTAGGGATTTTAGAATTGGTGCAGTTTACACAATTTGAGAAATTATTGGCATACATGAAACCTATTTAAAACAGCATTTATATTATTCAAAAGCATCGAGCACAATGATTTCCAGCCTTCTGAAGTTTGAATAATACAAGGCACAGACGTGAACAATATCGTACCTAAAACACAGCAGTGTGACAGTGAAGAATTTAGGACGGAAAATCCAAAATGGCCACCTTAAAATTTACCCAGAATGCCCAAAAACTAATCAGTTCTTAACTTGGATACGTAGAAACATCCCTGAAAATTTCAGATGAATCCATCAAATGGTTTGACTGGAAACCTGTAGACAAGTCTTGAAAGTGAAGATTTTAGGACGGAAAATCCAAAATGGCCACCTTAAAATTTACCCAGAATGCCCAAAAACTAATCAGTTGTTAACTTTGATATGTAGAAACATCCCTGTAAATTGCAAATGAATCCGTCAAATGGTTTGGCTGGAAACCTGTAGACAAGTCTTGAAAGTGAAGATTTTAGGACGGAAAATCCAAAATGGCCACCTTAAATTTTACCCAGAATGCCAAAAAACTAATCAGTTCTTAACTTTGATACGTAGAAACATCCCTGAAAATTTCAGATGAATCCGTCAAATGGTTTGGCTGGAAACCTGTAGACAAGTCTTGAAAGTGAAGATTTAAGGACAGAAAATCCAAAATGGCCACCTTAAAATTTACCCAGAATGCCCAAAAACTAATCAGTTCTTAACTTTGATACGTAGAAACATTCCTGAAAATTTCAGATGAATCCGTCAAATGGTTTTGCTGGAAACCTGTAGACAAGTCTTGAAAGTGAAGATTTTAGGACGGAAAATCCAAAATGGCCACCTTAAAATTTACCCAGAATGCCCAAAAACTAATCAGTTCTTAACTTTGATATGTAGAAACATTCCTGAAAATTTCAGATGAATCTGTCAAATGGTTTGGCTGGAAACCTGTAGACAAGCTGAAAAGTGAGACGCCGCCCGCCCGCCCGTCAAGCTGACGACAATATCGTACCTTTATTAGGTACGATAATAAAAAATACCTGGGTGTTAATCCATGGATAATCCTTGAAAATGAGAAATAATTTTTTGAATTATATGGTGCAGTCTTATAGTCAATAAAATGTTTTAAAGTGTATTCCTGTTTTTAAGATGAAAAATTAGTACCATGGGTACTGGGCTCACATGGTAACAGAAAAAAACGGATATAATTTTTTGCTGATTTTTTGTTACAAAATTATTTCAAGCCATCTGTCTCTCAGTCAATTAAAATGGCTGAAAAAAAAACGGATATAATTTTTTGCCAATAATTTGTAACAAAATTATTTCATACAACTACTCTTTACAGTGACATGGCTTTTTGCAATGCAAGACACCTGAAATTATTTGTAAAGCTAGGAAATGGGCCAAAATTGAATTTCGCGAGAGAAAAATGGCGACCATTTTGAAATCAGGCAAGCTTTTGAACCAGGAGTCATAGGGGAGTTTTTTGTATTGATGTTGAACAAAAATAACTTGAAACTGGAATCCTATCGACAGAGGTTTTAAGCAAATGGTCCAAAAGAGGATTTCGCGAGACAGATGGACAAATCAATGTTAACTAAAATGGCTGAAAATAAAGAAACGGACATAATATTTTGTCGATTTTTTGTAACAAAATTATTTCATACAACTACCTTTTACAGTGACATGGCTTTTTACAATGCAGGACAGCTGAAATTATTTGTAAAGCTAGGAACTTGGCAAAAAGTGAATTTCGCGAAACAAGAATGGCAACTATTTTGAAAATAGGCGAGCTTTTGAACCAAGAGTCATAGGAGAGTTTTTTGTATTGATGTTGAACAAAATTAACTTAAAATGGGAATCCTATTGACAGAGGGTTTAAGGTAAATGGTCCAAAAGTGGATTTTGCGAGACAGATGGACAAATCAATGTTAACTAAAATGGCTGAAAATAATTAAATGGATATAATTTTTCGCTGATTTTTCGTAACAAAATTATTTCATACATCTACTCTTTACATTGACATGGATTTTTACAATGTAGGACACTTGAAATTATTTGCAAAGCTAGGAAATGGGTCAAAAGTGAATTTCGCGAGACAAAAATGGCGGCCATTTTGAAAATAGGCGAGCTTTTGAACCAGGAGTCATAGGGGAGTTTTCTGAATTGATGTTGAACAGAAATAACTTAAAACAGGAATCCTATCGACAGAGGTTTTAAAACGTGCCACTGTTATTGACAGAAAGTGGATTTCGCGAGTCAGATAGACAAATCAATGTTAACTAAAATGGCTGAAAATAAAAAAATGGATACAATTTTTCGCTGATTTTTTGTAACAAAATTATTTCATATATCTACCCTTTACATTGACATGGATTTTTACAATGTAGGACACCTGAAATTATTTGTAAAGCTAGGAAATGGGTCAAAAGTGAATTTCGCGAGACAAAAGTGACGGCCATTTTGAAAATAGCCGAGCTTTTGAACCAAGAGTCATAGGAGAGTTTTTTGTATTGATGTTGAACAAAAATAACTTAAAATGGGAATCCTATCGACAGAGGGTTTAAGGTAAATGATCCAAAAGTGAATTTTGCGAGACAGATTGACAAATCAATGTTAACGAAAATGGCTGATAATAAATAAATGGATATAATTTTTCGCTGATTTTTCGTAACAAAATTATTTCATACATCTACTCTTTACTTTGCAATGGATTTCTAAAATGTAGGACACTTGAAATTATTTGTAAAGCTAGGAAATGGGTCAAAAGTGAATTTCGCGAGACAAAAATGGCGGCCATTTTGAAAATAGGCGAGCTTTTGAACCAGGAGTCATAGGGGAGTTTTCTGAATTCATGTTGAACAGAAATAACTTAAAACAGGAATCCTATCGACAGAGGTTTTAAAACGTGCCACTGTTATTGACAGAAAGTGGATTTCGCGAGTCAGATAGACAAATCAATGTTAACTAAAATGGCTGAAAATAAAAAAAATGGATACAATTTTTCGCTGATTTTTTGTAACAAAATTATTTCATATATCTAATCTTTACATTGACATGGATTTTTACAATGTAGGACACCTGAAATTATTTGTAAAGCTAGGAAATGGGCCAAAAGTGAATTTCGCGAGACAAAAGTGACCGCCATTTTGAAAATAGGCGAGCTTTTGAACCAGGAGTCATAGGGGGGTTTTCTGTATTGATGTTGAACAGAAATAACTTAAAACAGGAATCCTATCGACAGAGGTTAGCTAGGAAATGGGCTAAAAGTGAATTTCGCGAGACAAAAGTGACGGCCATTTTGAAAATAGCCAAGCTTTTGAACCAGGAGTCATAGGGGGGTTTTCTGTATTGATGTTGAACAGAAATAACTTAAAACAGGAATCCTATCGATAGAGGTTTAAAAACGTGCCACTATTGTTGACGGACAGACGGACGGACGTACGGACAGACGGACGGACAGACAGACGGACAAGTGAGTGATTGCAAAAGCTCACCATGTGAGCTAAAAACTATTATAAAATCAAAGGCCTATTAAGACAATAACATTTTTCGTTCTGTGCATAAAATAGCATAATGGAGACTCGCATTGGAAAAAATAAAATTTCAAAAGTCAGTGATCAACTTGTATGGTACTTATGCTACATCATGTTTTATTGAAGTGATACAATGTACCATAGCACAAACATGACAGAATTCACACTTGTGACCTCTGATACACCTGCTCATTCACAGATGATGAAGTAATATGTGGCACAGGTGTATATAATGGTGCAATACTATGTACAATGTAGAACAATCTAAATAATCAATTTCATCACGGAAAAGGCAAAATAATTTAGGCTAATGCAAATGATTTTTAATGATGAACCCACCCCCTGTTCATTTGACAACTTGGTTTTTTTCCATCTCATATACTTCTAATCTAGGTTCACAATAAAATTAGATGTCAATATTTGAAGCAACCACTAATTGAGACTTAACTACTAGTATAACCTGAAAACTGCTGAATCAGCTGAAAGTTTATTGTTGCCCATATCCTCCAGGATATAAGAATCTACTACACATTTTTGTAATTCTCGTTCAAACTGCACTTCAGTCAATTCGTGATAATCCACATTTCCTGAATTCATTTTTGTCAGTGAAAGAATAAAACTTGCAGTTACTATGAAGACAAATAATCTTATAACAGTCAATGATATCTGCCTCATGTTCAAAACTTCATCCTCTGTCAATCACAACAAAAAACTGTGCATTTTAATTCTTAATATTTCAACAATATATTGTATTGTTGCCATATTGTTCATTTCCAAAGTATATCTGTAGTAGACAGATGTACATGTTATCTATATATTTGCTAGTTGGATGTATAAGTACACCTCTTATGAAGATTCACATCATTACCATTTGAAAGTGCATTCTATACAGGAATCTTGTGAAATTAATTCATTGTTTAACATTATGTGAATTTTAAAATATAGTTCAAATAGTTTAACATAATTATTTTCTTTTTGATGCGGCCTCGAGAGCATGAAATATCTTAAAACACAAAATACATGTACATAAGTTAGACACCTTTTAGGTATCAAAATAATTTATGAGAGTAGATAACTCAGGTGTGCAGCGAAAGGCACTTTGAATCTAAACCATGATATGCTATCAGTTCTAGCCAATTATTAACTTATGTAATTCATATTTCATTAATTAATATTTAAACAATATTTTGCCAGGGGATGCCCTTCCCTCTTGATAATTTTACCATTAATATACAATTTGGTGATTTGGTGGGAATATTTGATGTGTTTAGATATCAAAAATGGGCCTGGAATATAAGTAACAATCAATGAATCAGTGTCCAATAATAAGTTTGGATGGGGGAGGTTGCCAGAGGGGGTGTGTGGGTTACAGAGGATACCCCCCTCTAAGGTTAATGCAAGATTTTACTATTAATGTCATTTGGTGATTTATTAATAGAGCTAACAATTGTACAAGCGTTACTATATGTAATGAAGAGACATCTATGATGGCAGAAGAATGTTTTTTTTTAGATTTGATAGGAACAAATCTGCTTTGTATCAAAGTGTATATGTACAGGGTGTCCCGAAAGTATGGGGCCCCCCCTAGGCAGACATATACCAGTGTCGTCATAGTATGTGTCATATATCATTTTAAAGCTTATCCAAAGTTACATTGATTCACCAAGTATCATGGTTCAACTCTCAAATGTGAAAAAATTATAGGCATTTCAAAATTTAGTGTTTGGTCAAAATTAAGTTCAATTTTACGCCAAATCACTAGTCTATGTGTCCTTCTAGGCCATCTTAACAGCAGCAATTCTTTTCGTGTCGGATGGATATTGAGTTGGAAAAAGAGAACGGTGAGGGTAGAAACTCTAAGGAAACTCTTCTAAAGTCCCTTAACAGGTTTTAAGAGGGTTATAAAATTCCACACTCCTATTTGAAGGGGTTTTAAGGTCATATCGGAAAATAATTGCCAATGTTAACATGGCCAAGGGGGGACACATTGACTAATAATGTGGTGTAAAACTGAACTTTATTTTGACAAAACACTAACTTTTAAAATGCCTGTAACTTTTTCCCATTTGGGAGTTAAACCATGATACTTGGCAAATCAATGTAACTTTGGACAAGCTTTAAAATGATATATGACACATACTATGAGGACACTGGAATATGTCTGCCTAGGGGGGGCCCCATACTTTCGGGACACCCTGTATACAGTGTATATGTGCATTTACAATGTAAATGACAGCATTACACTAAGTTGAAAACTAATGCCTTGGTCACATTTGATCAATGGCAACTGTATGGCGGCATAGCTTCCCAAAATCAAGAGAAATATGCAGCATACACTATATGGATAAGTTGTGCGCTGTAGATTTTCTATATTGATTTTGTGAAGCTACGTCCGCCATAGAGCAAATGTGAGAGAGGCTCTAGTGTCGCTGCAAAAGTGAGAATGCATTGATTTAAATCCTTCCTTACTTTCTGAAACAGAAATTATGATTTGACATTGATATACCAAGGGAAAGTTGAATTTCAAAAATATTATTATACAAACTATAATTCCTGTATCAAAGTTTATTTGAGGATTTAGAAGAAACTGCAATTTCACATACGTGATCCATATTTTTTTCTCATTCTTAGTCTAGGCTATATTTGCTGAGAATACTTTCCTTTCATAGAAACTAAAATGTATCCAACAGTAAACAAAAACATCTTAGCTAGCAAGAGGTCCCTCCAAGTCTTTCAAAATGGCCATTGTTATACATCTTACATCAAGTCCATGTTAACCTAACCTATTTCACAATTGGGATGGATAATGTCATGGAATTGTGATAAACCATGCTTTCGTGTTGCTTAATCAAGAGATGTTGCTACTGCTAGTCAAAGAAACAGAAGATGTAACGAGCATCACATTGTTGTCAGAAGAAGAACCCAGATATCTGATGCAAGATTGGTAACTATTTTTTAAAATTCATTCTCCGAAAAAATAAAGCTCTTCTAATCAATTTGTTGTAATATTGTGCAACCATTGACTATTTTTTGGCACAACATATTAATTTGGCAATTTAGCATGAACAGTTGCCTGTTTTTTATTTTAGAAGACCTGCAATCAACATTTGAGTTATAGACATAAGGGACCACATTGTAATTAGTAAAAAGAGGTTTTGAATTTGCCTCAGATTTGACATGAGCACCAGATGAACATGGTTACAGAAGTACAGTAGTATAAATGACCACAATGAGAGGCTATGAGGGACAAGTACTAAGGTACCTAGTAATATCCAGTGTCTATATCCTTCAATCAAGTTGGTTGAGTAGCATTTCAATAGTACTGCCTCTTTCTTTTTGAGGTTTCCCACTAGTGGCACCTCTTTCCTTTTGAGGTCTTCTACTTGGGACATGTCTGTCCCGTAACATTTCTATTGTCTCGTTTGTTTGCCTGTCCAGCTTTCTCTGTGGGACGTGACGAAAAGCTTTCATCCAGTCTCTTGTATCACGTAACTCTAGCATGATCTTCATCATTTGGTCAAGGGTCAGCGATTTATGACCCTTTCTAAATCTAAAATCACAAAAATGCATATTTCATGTAAGGATTTTGCTCTCTATTGTTTGCGCAAGTATTGTAGCTTTTTAGATTAGATTCTGACAATGGATATAATATGCAAAACATGCAGACAAATAAAATGAAATAACATTTATCATTTGTAAAGGCAGTATAACACTCAATATATAAACTTCCCAAAATCTTATCTAAATCCCCAAAACATTTGACATAACTAACTTCCCAAAATACACATAGGCAAAGGAACAGAGAAGATGGGCTATGGAGAAATGAATCCCCCAATCTCTGTATACAAAGTATAATATTGGTGATATGGTAAAACAGTAATTATCTGATTAAGATTCTTAAAAAGTCTTGCATAAAAGCCAGAAAGACTAATGGTGTTAACAACAATTTATTTTTTGCTCCATCAATTAGGGTGCGCAACTGCATACTCTCGCACTTGCCTGGTTACGCGCATGCATTTTATTAAACTAAACTAGGGTTGTAACTAATTTCATTTATAAATGAGCTCACATGAACATTCTTCCAGACATATATGCAGGACAGACACTATTAGTCATACACAAACAATGGTCCTACTTACTGTAAGTAATTATCTAGTGGGAGCTTAGCCATCTGAATTCTCTCCTCTTTAGCCTTCGCCATGGTCAATGGTTTGGATTCAGAGAGGTCCACTAAGCCACCAATGATATATACAGCATCACTGTCAAATTCCTTAAGAACATGGGGGGCATTTGGCGATAGGTACACCAGCTTTTCTTTAGGAAAAATATCCAGGTAACTTTTACTGGTTATTTCGCATAAAGGTTGTTGAATAAATTCGTTTTTTAATTTATCATTCAACCAAAGAGATGATTTGGAATCAGGTGCACAGTTACAGAAATGAATGTTAAATGGTTCATAATTCATCTTATTCTGACCATATGCCATGGCTATTTGTTCAACTGCACCGATGTTCTCTTTCTCCGTCATATATTCAGTGAATCCCATGTCGAAGACAATTGGTTGGCCAAACATCAAGGCTCGTACCAGTCCATTGTTCCAGTACCTTGACATATAGCTACGGTGAATTTTGATGTGAAGCCTGCTAATTATCTCATCGGGTTCCCCTGCCTCGGCACGTATTTGTCTCTGCAGCTCAAGATGCTCCTGTCTCTTTTGTTTCTTCTCTATTCTTTTATTCCGTTCTGACTCAATCTGGCATAAATAGCTAAACAATCTCTTTCTCCGACTTTGCGTATCTCCCTTCAAGACTTTTACCCACATGGAGTTAGTCATTTCCCGAGGCACTTTAAAGCTCAGAGACTGCGCTACATCATACTCTACTTGAACACGTTTGAATTTTTCTTGTTCATCAGTTGTAAGGTTTTGAATCCTTAAGGTAGCTTCATCTTCTATGTCTAGCTTATTTCCACGTTCTAAATCAATTTTTGTTGCCACATTGGACATAGCTATCATCTTCTTTTTAGCAAATCCTGTACTAAATCCACAATTGGTATTATAAGTAGTTGTCTTTGTTAACGATTCAAATACCATTTCTCTTATCCTTGGAAATATCGATCGCAACATTTTGACACCAGATTTTACCTGAAAAATAGCAAAGAAATAGAAAATGTTAAAGAAAACAATTAACAAACGATAAGAGAAAAACATAACAGATAATTTCTGTTTATGTAAAAGAGTATTCTATTTTTAAAAATTTGATGTATCCCTCCCTCCTTTCACAAACATCAATGTTTACAACTTTGAATATATAAGTTCCCGGTAAACCATGATACCTAACTGCATTACACATGAAACTATACACACTAAAAATATAGTTTCATTGTTGTTTTATTACTCATACTCAAAAAGGCATGCAATTTGCTCAGTAAGTAGTACCTATTTTCTAAATTACATCTAAATAATTTTTAGTATCCTAAGTACACTAAGATGTGGGGCTCTCAATTTGATTTCAAATCTCAGGGGGAGGAAACCTGTAAAGCATTTTCGGCAAGAACAAAAGAAAATTTTCAGTTTTAACAACTTAAGTTTTTCAATAAAGTGGGATTGACCATAGTATTTTTTAAACATCAAAATGGTTCTTTGATTATATATCTTTTATTGACTCTTTAGATGTCATATCAAGGGAAAAATCAATACCCGGTGATTTCAGCGGGAAGTCGCGTTTCGTTCAGTGGATGAGCTGCGCGCGCACGCATAAATGTGATTATCAATATTATTTATGGCCTAGTCACATAGCCCGGCCGATGTCCGGCATCGGTAGAGCTCGGTGGATTTTTTTGGTGCCACCGAGCTCTCCTCATCGGAAGCAGAGCTCGGTGACGTGAACGGACTCCGTCCGGACATCTTCAGGCGACCGACCGAACACCGGCCGGTGACCGTACGGAGTCTGTCTCAAAATGGTAGTTTTTTTCTGCCGATGTGGCAGCAACTACCGGCCGGAGGTCGGCCGGACATCGGAAGGAATACGGCCGGTACCCGAGCAGGTAACAGGACACCGTGCGATCGCCGGCCGGGTTGTTAACGGGCTTTGAACAGTGACCGGCCGATGCTCTGTCCCACATCGGCCGGAGCTCGGTCGGAGCTCGGCCGCTGTCCGTTAAAAAACCTCGTCCTCTGGTTGTCTCAGATGCACGGGACACCGGCCGATACTCGGCCGTGCACCGGCCGACGTGTTTTCCGATGTGGTTACGATGGGGGCTGCGATGACATGATGAGGGAGCTCGGTGAGAGCCCGGTGAAATTTAACTCCGAAGTTAAAATTTCACCGAGCTACCACCGATGCTGTTTTAAGCAACAAACGCCACGGATGTCCGGCCGGTGTCTGGCCGGTGTTCGGCCGAGTTCGGTGAAAATTGCATCGCTGGCTCATCGTAACCTCATCGGTCGGGCTATGTGACTAGGCCATTAGGGGAGGGATATTCAAGCTTATTTTCGTCATAGGCGCGACCCAGGGCTGTTGTCTTAAGGACATTTTGTTGAAAATTAGACATTCGGCTGATAATTTGTAAGAGTTTGCGATCTTATAATGTATAACTGTTACTCAGACACATATTTTGACACGATTCTGCTGGAAATAAGCTTTGAACCGAGAGATATTCACGATTGATATGCACATTTTTGATTGTGCCATTGCTTTTCCATTGCACAATCCATGTATTGATAGAAGTAACAATAATGCAGACTGTTTTACCTTCAATACATGGCGGATTCACTACATATCGGTCTATTAAATACCATTTTGTGCCCCAAATAGTTTTATATTTCCATCACGGCCTGGAGCCTGGGTGTGTTTGTCTCTTATGTGTATGCTTGTGAATTGGTGGGGCTGGTAGGGCCACCAATCCCCTGGCCCCGTCCATCCTTTATTCTACTTCCCACTTATTATAATTTATGCTGTAACATTTAGACTTCGCTGGAAAACAATAGGAATTATTTTTCTTGCCAATCAATCATGAATCACAATCAAAATTTCAGTAAGGATCAATCAGGCAATCGTCCAAAATCCAAATCAAGTTATAACATTATATGATATTCAGCAAGAAGTCTGGTAGAAATATAGAATATTTAAACATCAAAGCTGAAAGTTAAAAGCTAATCTGTCAATTTTCTGTCTGCAAAAGAACGTTTACATTTGACACAATAAAAGACCAAGGCTTTGAAATCTAGGATTCCCCAGGAAAATATGACGTCATACTAATTAGCATAAGGATTTCCCTAGTGGTTTGGGTCGAGCATCGTCCGAAAACACAATCCGATAAATACATGCTAATTTCTAAGGAGATAGGAAGTGTATGACGTGTTTATCGATTTTGTTTAAAGATTTAATCAATTATCAA